CTGCGGGACTCTTATTCTGTCCATAAGGTTTTCTTGGGGAATATACATATGTAAGATGATTTGAATGTACACATTTATGTTAATAGCCCTTAACTAAATGTTTTATTATTTTCACCAAGGATACAACTCTTTTAAACTGTGATCCATTCAGTAACATATTTACTTATGACAGGATTTATAGAATAATTTTGATGTTGACTTCTTTAAATAATTCAATATCAACACACTCTGGGGAAAAGGAATGAAAGGGCAGGGGGAAAGATTTTTACCAGATGAACGCAGGGAGAGTCAGCAGAGATCACAAGAAGATGCTGCTGTTTCAAGTTATTTCCGTGTTAGGTGTATGATTCACTCTGGCAAGTCCTCAACCCGTTCTGTTTTTTGTTTTTTTTTTTTAATTTAATTTTTATTTTATACTGGAGTATAGTTGGTTTACAATATTGTGTTAGTTTCAGGTGTACAGCAAAGTGATTCAGTTATACATATACATATCTCCATTTCTTTTCCCATTTAGGTTACTACAGAGTACTGAGTAGAGTTTCCTGTGCTATACAGTAGGTCCTTGTTGATTATCTGTTTTGTATATAGTGGTGTTTATACGCCTCACCCCATTCTGTATCAGTGGTGTATACAGGCTGAGAAGCTAAGGTCTTTGGGCTCAGTGGATATTTCTGACCCATCAATGCCACATTTCCTTTCAAGACTTCATTCTTCATCATTTAGCGCTTTTCCAAATGTAATGGTTTAAGAGAAAGCATCAAGGATAAGATTCTTATTACTAGCATCATCTTTGGTTCCTTTGAGTTTATTTTAACACTGACTGGCAGTTTTGAGGTCAGAAAATAAATCTATTTTTTTCCACTCTGAAAGGATTACTTTTCTCTCATGAAAAGCTTTGAAATATGTTAACACTAGTACTTACTCTTAACTTTCCCTGTTAGTAATAATTCATCTGAAGGATTCCTTTATTTTGTCACATTATTGTACTGCATAATATTCTAAAGAAAATAAATTCACATGGGCAGTTCTGGAATTTTATAGTTTTTTTCTGCTAATTTCCTCTTACTAAAGTAATGAGTGAATCATCCATTATAAGATTTTGAAACCAGATTAATTGTTTGAAGGGACACTTTTTTTTTTTTTTTTTTTTGCGGTATGCGGGCCTGTCACTGTTGTGGCCTCCGGTTGCGGAGCACAGGCTCCAGACGCGCAGGCTCAGTGGCCATGGCTCACGGGCCCAGCCGCTCTGCGGCATGTGGGATCTTTCCAGACCGGGGCACGAACTCGTGTCCCCTGCATCGGCAGGCGGACTCTCAACCACTGCGCCACCAGGGAAGCCCGAAGGGACACTTTTTGAAACCATGAGTACTTTGTTGACTTAAATATTTTCTTTCCTCTATTTTGTAGCTAATTTGAAGAAGGGAGAGTATGATTCAGATACTTTATAAGCAACTGGGAGGGAATTAAAACCATATGTGAGTGGATCCTAGCATTGACTTCCCTCCCCAACCAGAGGCAGGGCCCACCTGCATCTCTTTTTCCTTCTCTGACTATGATAAACACTAAACCCAACAATCCACATAGAATGGGATGAAATTCTTCCATCCTTTCTTCACTGATGCTGTTTGAATCCTTCCTACCTCTTAGACCTACACACATAGACCCACACCTGCAGTGTCTGCCTTACCTGTCACTTCTGTACCTGAGGGCTCATCTGCCTACCTTGTGTGGTTTGACCCAGAGCACTCACTGAATAGCTTCATCAGACTCAAACACGTGCCTCCCTGTCCCATGTGTATGTTCACCTGATTCTTTCAGGTGTGTCTGCTACTTAGAAGTGGGCTTGTCCCATTGTATCATAGACTTCTTTTGTTTGAGTGAAGTCCCCTTCCTGGCCCTTCCTGGTCAACCCAGTTTTGTAGCTTCCCCATGCTCCTGCAAGATACCTCCTCCACTGGAAGCCAGATAGGAGGTTCTGGAAAATTAACAATCATAACAATTCAAATATTCTCCCTACAATATAAAACATGCACAACTGAAAACTTGAAATGACTATTGAATGTACTCAGGAACTGTATAGCTCAGAGAGGCTTTTATGTTTCACTGGAGAGAGAGCCTACAAGGAGAGCAAAGAAAGAGTTATTGTGGGGAGCAGGAAATTCAGATGGAAGAAACTCTCAATCCTCATCTCATCTTCAGCGAAGGTGGTAAAGTTGTACATGGAAAAAAGAGTTGTTCCTTCTTAAAATTGGGAGAGGGGAAAACATACGATGGGAAAATTAAGCCAGAAGATTTCCTAAGTGATGTAAAGTGAAGATAATTATTGAAGATAATATGGGAAGATCGAACACTAGCTTTGCAGGGTGGATATTTGGAGGATATGCACTAATTCACTCCAGATGGTTTTTACAACCCTCATTCCTTCTGATTTCTCAGTGTCAGTGCCATTCTGGGTGTTTACTGTTAATATCAACCCAGCTTGTAGATCAGTTCTTGGAACATGGTTAAGTGCTAGATAAATGTGTTCATCATCGTCATCATTATCATCACCACATCTCTGTACTTTCAAGAATTGGGCTTTTAAAAAATTATTCAGGTCAGTTTTAAGTAAGCAGAGTCAGTATGAGAAAGGTCTTTTATATACTCATTTTATAAAGAGAGAACCCCTGATTAGCTAAAGCTATTAAATATGAAAAAGTATTATTGCTCAAATATTAGTTTGAAGTTATGGTAAAGGGAGAACTGTAAGTTTTCAAGATGATTTATTCAAGGAAAGATAGATCTGGCTTTGCCTATTTTAGCCAAATAATTTTTTTATTGAAGTATGATTGCTGTACAATATTATGTAAGTTACAGGTGTACAATATAGTGATTGACAATTTTTAAAGGTTATACTCCATTTGTAGTTATTATAAAATATTAGCTATATTCCCTGTGTTGTACAATTTATCCTTATAGTTTATTTTATACCTAATGGTTTGTATCTCTTAATCCCCTACCCCTATATTGCCCCTCCCCCCTTCCCTCTCCCCACTGGTAACCACTAGTTTGTTCTCTATATCTGTGAGTCTGCTTTTTTGTTTTATTCACTAGTTTCTTGTATTTTTCAGATTACACATATAAATGCTATCATACACTATTTGTCTTTCTCCATCAGACTTATTTCAGTTAACATAATGCCCTCCAAGTCCATACATGTCGCTGCAAAGGTCAAAATTGCATTCTTTTTTATGACTGAGTAGTATTCCATTGTATATATGTACCACATCTTCGTTATCCATTCATCTGTTGATGGACACATAGGTTGCTTCCAAATCTTGGCAATTCAAATTATTTATTTTATTTATTTGTTTATTTATTTTGGCTGTGTTGGGTCTTTGTTGCTGCATGTGGGCTTTCTCTAGTTGCAGCGAGCAGAGGCTGCTCCTCATTGTGGTGTGCAGGCTTCTCATTGTGGTGGCTTCTCTCGTTGTGGAGCACGGGCTCTAGGCTCGTGGGCTTCAGTAGTTGTGGCGCATGTGCTTAGTTGCTCTGCAGCATGTGGGATCTTCTCGGACCAGGGATCAAACCCATGTCCCCTGCATTGGCAGGTGGATTCTTAACCACTGTGTCACAAAGGAAGTCCCAAATAATTTATTTTAAATGCAGACACACACGTGTGTGTGCAGAGATGATAGTATTACGGTTATGGTAAAAAACAACAACAACAACAATCTTTGAGTGCTACATATGTATCTACATAAAAAAGATTAGTCGTGAGTTGATCATTGTTAAAGCTGGACACTGGTACATAAAAATCATTATTATTCTCTTTACTTTTGTATATATTTAAAAGTTTCCATATAAAAGGATTAAAACACAGACACACACATACATACATATAAATATCGTTTGGCTTAAACAATACATGCTGCACTCACCAGACTTCTTAGCTTGAGCTGTAATTGGTACTAATCTTCTAGTGTTTTAGAGCATTTGGGACCCTAAGAAATTATCTGCGGCAAACTCCTCATCTCACAGATGAAGCAGGTGAGTCCCTTTGCTAAACAGCACATTACTAATTAAGCCTCATAAGCATGTCTCCTAATGTCCTAATCCAGCTTTGCCAATGATGTCAGGAGGCGAGCCACTAGGTACGCCTCCCAGGGCGTCCCCACCCCACTTTATGGAAACACTTTTCCTCTCTTGGACAGTTCTTTCACTCGGTTTAAAGCAGAGAAAGATTATAATGTGAAACTTGTTTTATTTCCATCTCTCATCACTTGATTGTGTGGCCGGTTTAGTTCTAAGTGTTTGTCACCCTAATATTTCCAAATAAATGTGCCAAAAGCTGCTGTTTCAGAGATAACTTTGTAAAGCAAGGAATCATTTGGTAAATAATCTTACCGCCGACGTCATTTTTGGGTAGGTTTTTAAATGGAAATGAAGTTCTACGTGACTCTGATGCCATCACCTGTGGCCTGAGGATTTCTCCTTTTCCAATCAGGGTGTCCTATGGTGATGTGAATTCCTGAATGTTGTCCACGTGGCCCCAAAGAGACTAGTTCCATCTGGAAAAAGAGTCCAATGGTTGGTCTGAGACAGTTACTAGGGTTCCGTTCAATCTTGGGCCAAGCAAATTGCAGAGAGGTCAGGCATGGAATTTCAGGGTGAAATCCACCTCCCTTTCTACAACCTTCTCTTCTTGACTTACTTGCCTGTCTATGGGGCTTTTGGGGAAAAGAGAGAGACGGGACATTTATCCAGGGATCAGACTTTTTTTTTTTTTTTGTGGTACGCGGGCCTCCCACCACTGTGGCCTCTCCCGCTGCGGAGCACAGGCTCCGGACGCACAGGCTCAGCGGCCATGGCTCACGGGCCCAGCCGCTCCGCGGCATGTGGGATCCTCCCGGACCGGGGCACGAACCTTGCATCGGCAGGCGGACTCTCAACCACTGCGCCACCAGGGAAGCCCCAGACTTTTATTAGATTGTTTATAACTGGATTTCTTCCTTTTTCAGATGGGTGAGTCAAACGAAGATATAGACCAAATGTTCAGCAATTTGCTGGGAGAGATGGATCTCCTGACCCAGGTAAATTCCCTTCCTTAACTTTCAAATGAGAAAAAAATGGGGTTAAATGGATGTAGGCGAAGGGTATATAGTTGTCCATTGTACTATTTTTTCACCTTCTTGTTTGACATTTTTCAAAGTAAAAAACATTAAAAGAAAAAAATGGGGTTACAGAATTTGATTTTAATATGACAAGAGCTATCTTTTTAAAAAGACTGGAAATTGACAACATTGTATATTCCTGATGTAACAGTGGTAGGGGAGAAAATAAACCTTTTTTCCTGTTTATACCCTTCTGAGTTCAGTTAATTGAATGCCTGGGTCACCCGTACATTCTCTTATGGCAATTTTCATGCTCATCGTGTTCAAATATTTAGCCAGTGGAGGAATTTTCCCCAAACTAACCTTCCACAACCACTACCACTAAACAATTTCCCCTGCAGTTACCTTTATATAAAGACTAGTCAGCTCATCGCTTTCTGCATAAAGCACTAAAATAAGAATCATCCAGTATTCCTCAATATGATAGGGATCTTAAAGTTTTCTACAAAGTAAATGAAGAATAATCTATGTTTTTTTAAGTATTTATTTTAGGAAAAATAAATCAATGTTAGTTAGCATCTACTTTATATTCCGTATAAAATTCAAGAAGGTTTAGATTCTATGAAAGAAGAGACAAAATGTGAGACGACAGGTTTAGAGAAAAGGGTGCTGACTAATAACCAGGGAGTGTTAGGATGGAAGCCACATTTCTATAAATCAGAGGACCTTTTTCCTCCCATGAAGGGGGAGGGTTTAATGAACATCTGTGGTCTCTTTGTCCATTCACTCACTTCTGCTCCATAGAGGAATGATTATTCTGATTGGTCAGAGTCCGGGATTTTCATAGTTGAGTGTTGTTACTCTAATTCAAGAGTACGAAGAGGGCCCCTTAGAGTGTCTTGGATCTGCCTTCACCGAAGGCCTTTCTGGGTTTTGATCTTTCTTTATTGCGCTCAGGTGAGTGGGGTCACAGGGTTTGCTTGGCTAAAACTGTGATTGAAGGAGTTCCTTCCTAACACCGGTTTCCTCTCTCTCCTTTCCCTCTCTCTGTATTTTACTCAAAGCCTGTTATGTTACACATTCATGCATTCATGTTTTGTTAGAGAATTACCTCTAGTTTCTGTAAGTAGCCTAGAAAATTATATTCCTGAGAAAAAAATGAGTTGGCAACCCTAATTGTGATGTTATACTTCCCAGTTATAGCATTTAAAAACCAACTAGTTAATGAATTTTTTTATACTTTCTTTCACGAAATTTTTTTTTTCTGGTATTTGCCCCATAGTTTCTCCATCAACCTCCCCCTTTCTTGGCAAGTTTTGCAAGTTCATTCCGGTTTTTAGAATGAATTCTGGAGCTGCAGTCACTTTTCCCTACTTTTTTTTTCTGGTATTTGCCCCATAGTTTCTCCATCAACCTCCCCCTTTCTTGGCAAGTTTTGCAAGTTCATTCCGGTTTTTAGAATGAATTCTGGAGCTGCAGTCACTGTTCCCTACATTTTATTCTTGATTCTAACTTGATTGGGTTCATTTTTTTTTTAACTTCTTCTTGATTAATGGCCTTTTTTTTTTCTACGTATAACTGATGATATCTCATTAATTTATTCTCAAACCTATAATGATTGGTGTCCTTCAGAAATTTAAGACATGAACAAGGATATTACTTACCAAATCAAATTAACATCAAAGAATGTACTCATTGTCATGAAAACATTCATGTTTAAGAACAGGTGAAATAACTTCTCAAACTATGGATGTAAAAATATTTTTAAATACTAGCTTTTAAATCATACAAGCAGTCACGTTATAAATTAGAAAATAATGTTATTTACAAAATTAGTAACTTACTGTGGCTTAATTTCTTTTTAACAAGTTTTATTAAATAAGAGTAACAGCATTAACATTTTACTGTGTAATAACAGATTGCATCCTGAAACAGCTCTTATCTTCAAGTGACTAAACAATTCCTTTCTTTGATGTCATAACTTAAATCCTTATGAATTGTATGTAGTGTATGTGTCACAATGCTTCATTCCCGGAAATTTTTTGTTGTCTCTAAAAATGAACAACCTCATTCTCATCATTTGACCTGTTTTGTCTCAAGATGTACCTTCTAGAATAATTTTTAACTTGTCATAATTTAACATATCATTTTCTGTAGGAAAAAAAAAATCACCTAAAGCATGTTCAAGTAAGAATACAGTTTTTAGAGAACATATTTAAAGAGAACATGTATAAGCAGCAAATGATTCTTAATGATTAAATTGCACTGCAAAAATATTAGTATCATGAATAACTTTGGGGGTTGGGATCCGTTTTCACAGAGTTTAGGAGTCGACACTGTCCCTCCTCCAGAACCTAAACCGCCCAGAGCTGAATTTAACTACAGTGTGGGGTTTAAGGATTTAAATGGTGAGTATCATTTCTTTCCTTAAGTAATTTGAAATGATAACAATGACTAAGATCTGTACACAGCTGTAATCTGAAAACAAAATTTAAGGAACTTGGACATCATGACAAGTATAATTTTTAAAGTCCTGGATTTCATTCAGATTTAGTGCTGCTGTTTGGATTGAATTGAGAGGCCAGGAAGATATTTTTGCCTGTAATGAAAAGGAACACTGTCCTGTATTTGCTGAAAGTCTCAAAGCTTTCTAATTTTTTTTTAAAAAAAACAGAGAGTTTCTTCTTACTCCTAAGCCATTACAGTAATAAGGTACAGTAGTATAAGCAAATATTAATAAGGAAATGTCCCTTCGAGGATATTAATGAACTGCCCATTTCATAGTGATTGAGAATATATGAATAGATGCTTCAAAATATATTTTAATTAATATATATTTAATATATAATATAATATATTTGCTCTATTTGACATTTTAGTCCCCTGAAGTTTGTCATATTTTATTAACAAAAATCTCTCTTCCTACTTAGTGCAGTGACAATCTTTAGCCCATGTGCTACTCAAATTACAATGAATCTTGAAGTAATTGCTTCCAAATTAATGAGAATTCACTGCAGCTCTTGGAAAAGATTTTCCAAAGACTTGCAGTGCCAACCAAAAGAATAAAGAACAAAATAATAGAGAAGCCCAGTTACAGAAATCCAGAGTTCTAAGTTTTATTTCTGTCACTCACTGGGTTCCTTTGTTTCTGTCATTTTCAGTAATTTTTAGATTAAACCCTTAAGGTTCGAATACCTGTATCTTGATAAATTATAGTACATCTCTTCTGATTTCCTCTTTTTTCCCACCCTCTTTTCTATTTTCCATATAAACTTATTATTTCTGTCAGTCGTTTCCACTGCATGGAATGGAATGATGGTAACATTCATGAAGTTTCAGAAAACCAACACACTTTTGTCAAATTATGACGTTAATAGAGAACATATACTTGCATATATGAACAGTGCAGATTTGCCTGACACACTCATAACAGCTGGATAATCAGTTCCATTAAAATTAAAATTTAATCAGTAATTTAGTTGTAGTAAGCCCAACTAATGCTTTCGAAGCACTTATTACCTAGTATCAAAACATTACTGAAAATGTCAGAATCCAAGAAACCCAGCAATACATAAACATAGTCATGTTAAAAGACACTAACAAGAAACTCATGTCATTAAGGAGACAAGACCATTAAAAAAGTACTGTTATGTACTGAAAATTCAATTTGTTGGGAATTACAATAGGAATAGATTTTTTTTTTACTGTCTTCCCTTAAAACATTGCTTAAAATGAGTCAAAAAATACTTCACCCAAAGTTATTTGGAGAGTTAACGATAAACTTCTGAACAGAATCCCCAATTCTTTATCACTCAATCCCATACCAATATGTTGAGGATTATAATTTGCTTTGGAAATTGTTACTATATGTGTTACTGTGGGAATTTTGTCCCTAAAATGTTTATAAATGATTAAAATCATTTGCTGTGTGTCTGCAGTCACAATGTAATTGATGACACTAGAAAATTAGGAATATGCTTCATTAGTTCTACACATATTTTCTCTGAGATTTTTAAAATTTCACTTAATATTATGAAAAGCTATATGCAAAACAGCAGTGGCTTAGAAGGAAAATGCTTTTTACCCGGTTAAGAGATCCAAACTTCAGGGCTTCCCTGGTGGCGCAGTGGTTGAGAGTCCGCCTGCTGATGCAGGGGACACGGGTTCGTGCCCCGGTCCAGGAAGATCCCACATGCCGCGGAATGGCTGGGCCCGTGAGTCATGGCCGTTGAGCCTGCGCGTCCGGAGCCTGTGCTCCACAACGGGAGAGGCCACAGCAGTGAGAGGCCCACGTACCGCAAAAAAAAAAAAAAAAGAGAGAGAGATCCAAACTTCAGTCTGAGTGCTGTACATAGAACTATTGGCATTAATGTAATATGCTACATGGTGTTTATGCTGATGATGTTTGGCAATAAATGATTTCACCATGCTTTCTGCTCATTTGTTTCTGAGAGGGCTTCATTTCCTCTGCCCGCATTTCCTCAATCCAGTTCACGCTGCACACAGCAGCTAGAATTCTCCCCCTCATGATCACTTCCACCTTGCCCATACTTTGTTCATCACACTCACCATCCGGTGACTGCCTGATGGACAAAGTGCTGTAGCAACACGACTCACGGCCATGGCTCCCTGTATGCCACGTGGTCTAATCAGCTTTCAGGATCCCAGGTCTTATCTCCACAGTAATCTCTCATGTGGAAGAAATTCCAGTGAAAATCGTCCTCCCTCACCCTCACTCTGAAAATTCGGGTATGCCCTTTCCTTTAAGAGTTAACTCCCAGCTTACTGTCTTATGAAGTCTTTACCACTTAATCCCAATTAAAAAAAATTTTTTTTTCATTCCTTAACCCCCTTGGTGCTTTATTTCCTGCTATTGAATATTTATCATTAACTGCTCTTTTTGTGATGTGAGAGTTCCTATAGTTGGATGGTGTGCCCACAGAAACTCAGCCCTCACCCCAAGTCTCAAGGCGTATTAAATAAATCCCAGTTGGTGGAGACCTACTTTCTTCCAAGTATATTTATCAGTGGTGCTCCGTCTGCCCACCAAAGACCTGGGGAGAATTTTCCAGCCTCTCCCCTCCCCTACTTTCTAAAACTCTAAGATCTTGCACCAGAATGTACAAGAATTCTCTACTTAGGCATCTAATCAGGTGCTTGGAGTTGACTTTATAGCTGACCTGTGAGGTCCCAATGTAGGGGAGACATTCCCCCGTGTTTTTTCTTTTCTCTTCTTTCTTTTACTTTTTTTTTTTTTTTTGGAGGGAAGGGATGTTTTTAGCTTTATTGAGGTTTTTTTAAGTTAATTAATTAATTTTTTTGGCTGTGTTGGGTCTTCATTGCTGTGCACAGGCTTTCTTTAGTTGTGGTGAGTAGGGACTACTCTTCGTTGCGGTGCATGGGCTTCTCATTGCGGTGGCTTCTCTTGTTGTGGAGCACGGGCTCTAGGTGCGCGGGCTTCAGTAGTTGTGGCGCATGGGCTTAGTTGCTCTGTGGCACGTGGGATCTTCCCGGACCAGGGATCAAACCCATGTCCCCTGCATTGGCAGGTGGATTCTTAACCACTGCACCACCAGGGAAGTCCCAATTGAGGTTTAGTTGACAAAATTGTAAGATATCTGAAGTGTACAGAGTGATGATATGGTGTGCATATACATTGTGAAAGGATTCCCCCCATCAAGTTAGTTAACACATCCATCACCTCACCTATTCTTTTTTTTTTTTAGTGAGAACATTTAAGTTCTACTCTTTCAGCAAATTTCAGTTATACCATACAATGTTATCAACTGTAGTCATCATGTTATACTTAGATCCTCAGACCTTACTTGCCTTAGAACTGAAAGTTCATACCCTTTTACCAACCTCTTCCTATTTCCCCCGCCCCAGCCCCTTGCAACCAGTACTCAAATGTACTCTTTAAAATGACCTTCGTTACGTTTTTCTAGGTGCAAATTGTTGTCTTGACCATTAACGTGATTTTCCCTATCAGAGTCCTTAAACGCACTGGAAGACCAAGATTTAGATGCTCTCATGGCGGATCTGGTAGCAGACATAAGGGAAGCTGAGCAGAGGACAATCCAGGCCCAGAAGGAGTCCTCTCAGAGCCGACCTCATTCAGCATCTCTGGATGTACCAAGTTTCAGTGGTGCAGCCTCTCTTGGTTACACAGCAAATGTTGCTGCACCGATTATTAGCCAATATGAGGATGACTTACCTCCTCCACCAGCTGATCCCATGTTAGACCTTCCTTTGCCACCACCCGCTCCTGAACCTCTCTCTCAGGTAAGTCCGTGGGGTCAGGACTCTTGACCTCTGCTACCCAAGATCTCTGACCTTCCTCAGAGTGGCGGTTACATTCAAGTTTGTACGCCCAGAGCTCTGAGACGCTAAGAAACAAGGATCCCAGATGTGTTCATTGAAAAGCCAGAGTCTCCATAAAAGGACACATTGGTGTGTATAAAGAACATATTAGGGCCATATTCAGGAACTGTTATAGTTTGGCTAAAATCTATATTTGTATGCAGCTTTCCCTGATAATACTCAACCTTTCGGGGTCATGTTTTATTAACTTGGTATGAACTGTGGAAGTGATTTATAGATTTCTGTGTCCCTGGTCCTAGTCCAGTACATAAAGAATAGAAGGCATTCCTTACATATTTCAGAATTGAACTAAATGGAATTTTGCTGAATTTGGCAGCCGTATTCAGTAGGGCAAAGATATCTGTGTATCACATGTAAGGTCATAGCTGGGAGGGGCGTTATGGGGCGGGTAGGTGATGAGTGCTTGATATTAATAGATTTCTGGGAAGTTCATATTGTCATTATGTGGGACATTAACTCATATCTCTCATCCATGCAAGAAGAGCGCTTTAAGGATTTTTCTTAGAGTAAGCCACTTTTAAAATATTTTACAGTAAGAACCTAGCTTTATTTCCTGTGGCTTCTGCATTCGTTGTACTGGGTGGTGATCAGTATTCATAAATACGACCCTAGTAACCCTGAAAGTCCCTACAATGCCTTTTGAATGAACAAATATGAAATATAAATCAAATATTAAATCCTACTCATTGCTCTATTGTGTGATTATTGTATAAAAATTATTTGAAAATTGGTGATCCATATAGAACAGAGGCTCTTTTTCCCCCAATTTTATTGTGATATAATTGACATATAGTATTGTACAGATTCAAGGCATACAACATGATGATCAGATATACATATATTGAGAAATGATTACCATAGCGAGGTTAGTTAACACCTTCATCACCTCATATAATTACCTTTTTGTTGTGCATATGGTGAGAACATATAAGATCTACTCTAAACAAGTTTATAATACAGTACTGTTAACTGTAGTCACCACGCTGTACTTTAGATCCCCAGAGCTTATTCATGTTATAACTGGAGGTTTGTACCCTTTGGCCAACATCGCCCTATTTCTTCCATCCCAGCCTCTGGCAACCACCATTTAACTCTCTGTTTCTATGAGTTCAGCTTTTTTAGATTCTCACATATAAGTGAGATCATACACTATTTGTCCTCTGTCTGACTTATCTCATTTAGTATAATGCTCTCAAGTTTCATCCATGTTGTCACAAACAGCATGATTTCCTTTTCTCGTGGATAAATAATATTCCATTGTATATCTACACCACATCTTCTTTATCCATTCATCATCAACAGATACTGAGGTTGCTTCCATGTCTTGGCTGCTGTGAATAGTGCTGCCACAGACATGGGAGTGTAGATCTCTTCAAGATATTGATTTCATTTCCTTTGGGTAGATACCCAGGAGTGGAATTGCTGGATCATATGGTAGCTCTATTTGTAAGTTTTTGAGGAACTTCCATACTGTTTTCCTTAGCAGCTGCACCAATTTTACATTCCCACCAACAGTGCACAAAGGTTTCCATTTCTTCACTTCCTTGCCAACACTTTTTTTTGCAGTACGCGGGCCTCTCACTGTTGTGGCCTCTCCCATTGCGGAGCACAGGCTCCGGACGCGCAGGCTCAGCGGCCATGACTCACGGGCCCAGCCGCTGCGCGGCATGTGGGATCTTCCTGGACCGGGGCACGAACCCGTGGCCCCTGCATCGGCAGGTGGACTCTCAACCACTGCGCCACCAGGGAAGCCCTCGCCAACACTTTTTACCTCTTGTCTTTGATAACAGCCATTCTAAAGAGCAGAGGCTCTTAATATAGGGTCCATGAAGAAGTCAAGGAGTCTGTGATTCCCAACTGTATGCAAAGTCAAATGCATATGTGAAGCTTTATGGGCTTCATTGCTTTAAACATATTCCTAAATGGGTTTGTGGCTCAAAAAAAAAATAAGAACTACTGGTATAGGAAGATATATGTTTGCTTTGGGCTCATAAAATATTTCACTCTCTTTTCTGCCTGCTCATGTGTTTGTCAGTAGTTTGTTGTGTTGTTTTTTGTTTTTTGTTTTTTTTGGTGAATTATAAGTTTAAGTTTGATTGGGGAAGATAAGGACCCTTTAGGAATCTAATAAAAACTAAGAGTCCCAGAAAACGCATACTAATCCAAAAGAATGTGTATAATCTCAGGAAGTGCTCAAACCCCTTGAGATTCACCTACAGATTCCTCAGGTTAGACCCAATTTTGAGCCAAACAGGGATTTTTGCAGACTAAATATGTGAAACTCTGAGTCATCATTTCATCTTTTAAGTTACTATTCCTAAGATATAAAGGGTGACTGTCTTCTGTATCTCCGGGTTGAAGATTTCTGTTACAGTTACTTAAATTTTGAAAATCGATCATGTGAAATGTGGTGCCCTATATAACACAGCCTTTTGTCAATATAAAGTGACTAAGACACTAACGATGGCAGGGGTACTTATTACTCCCTGGTGTTATTAATGGACTGTGTTGAATGTCTTGTCATTTTACAGGAAGAAAAAGAAGCCCAAGCCAAGGCTGATAAAATTAAGCTAGCATTGGAAAAACTGAAGGAGGCCAAGGTCAAGAAGGTAAATTATGAATCACTTTTGCGTGGGGCAGTCAAATTAATGACTTTTTATTATGCTTAAGGCTAAAGAAAATTTTAATTTCAAGTGGTGCTTTAATGAGTTGTAGTTTTGTTTTTTTTTAACATCTTTATTGGGGTATAATTGCTTTACAATGGTGTGTTAGTTTCTGCTTTATAACAGAGTGAATCAGTTATACATATACATATGTTCCCATATCTCTTCCCTCTTTGTCTCCCTCCCTCCCACCTTCCCTATCCCACCCCTCCAGACAGCCACAAAGAACCGAGCCGGTTTCCCTGTGCCATGCGGCTGCTTCCCACTGGCTATCTACCTTACGTTTGTTAGTATATATATGTCCATGTCTCTCTCTCGCCCTATCACACCTCACCCTTCCCCCTCCCCGTATCCTCAAGTCTGTTCTCCAGTAGGTCTGTGTCTTTATTCCCGTTTTACCCCTAGGTTCTTCATAACATTTTTTTTCTTAAATTCCATATATATGTGTCAGCAGACGGTATTTGTCCTTCTCTTTCTGGCTTACTTCACTCTATATGGCAGACTCTAGGTCTATCCAAATGAGTTGTAGATTTTTAAATTTAAGGGCAAAGATAAATTATTCTTTTAATGACCTCGCTTGGCTCATTTGTGTTTCATAAATAGGGGACCTATGTTAGTGTAAATGTGGAGGTTTCCAAGTCTCTACCCGCAGGGCTCCCTCCCCTAAGGATGCACTCTGGGTTCTGCTCACTCTTGGGTAATTGCAGGTGGCGCCCCCTTCTGGGGGTGAGTTGGCGAGTCCACTGGGTCAGAGTTCAGCCTCTAGTGGCATCACCTCATTTCCACGATTGCTTTTGTGCATTTTATATACCCCCTGAGGCAGCCCCCAGCCTGCCCTGGATGTCCAAGTTCTCTCCTGAAATACCAAATGTTCTCTTGGCTAGAGCTGTATGTTCAAAGTTGGCATAGGTTTTGAGTGACCTGCCTCGACCCTATTGTCCCAATAAGCCTGTAATTTATCATGCTTTTTCTGTAGAGCGTAGGTTTTTCTGGAGACACATATATTGTATTATATCAGAGACACATGTATTTAAGCTCAGTCGAAGCATCTACCTAATAATAAAGTGTTAACAATAGTTAGGTAAATTAAGAGAAAGATAAACAGTCTCACTTCGACTCCTGAAGCATATACCGTGGCTGAGACGCGTTAAGAACTTTTTACTTACAGTTGGGTGAATTATTCTTTTCATACAGGGCATTAGATTTTATGTTCCTGCATCACCTCTCATGGTTCCTTGAATGAAGGATTTCAGTACATGTTGATCGATATTTAATAAATATTCCTTGACTACCCCAGGATCCAGACTTCCAAGGTTCATCTATGAGAATTTTTCCAGATCATTCTGGTTCCATTCATTTCAAGCATGCATGAACCTTTTTATCATTTTTCTTCCCCATTCTCTACGTGTGGTCGGTTATTGAACTGATACATCCTCGGCTGCCTTCTCCCCCCTTGTCCTCACTCTGTGAACCCCTGGTTAAACCCAGCCTGGGCCTTCAGTGCTGCCTGAGCTTCCGAGTCCAGTCTCTCTCCCACGAACCTAGAAAACTCTTTCCACCTTGTCCTCTCTCTGAAAATCTCTAGTACCTCCTTCCTCTCCCACATTTTCTCAGCCCATTGCACTGAGAAGTAGAAGCAATCCAAAGAAAGTTTCTACAAACTCCCAACACACTTGCCTCCCTACCTGCCTGCACCTGTGGCAGGTGGTGCATGGTCTTCCTGCTCCTGTGCATGGACTGTCACGTTTCTAAGACCAGTCCCCCTCATGTGATTCTCTTCCCACCTCTTTCCTTGTCCCTCCTCTGCTCAAGGATGTCCCCCCCACACACACAGTGTAAAGTCCAAATCCTCACAACGACATCGAGTCCCTGCATGATCTGGTTGCCAGCCCTCTCCCTCACCCTCCGTTCTAGCTTACTGGTCTCACTGCTGCTCCACAGATGTTCCAGGCATGCCTCTGCCTCGGGACCTTTGTGCCTTGCGGTCCCCCTGCCTAGAAAGCTCATCCCCAGATTCCAGTGGGTTCTCTCTGTTCCTCACTAGGTCTGGTCACCTGCTCAGTGCCATGCACACACACACCTCTGAGATCCCTTACCTTCCCCTGCTTTTCCTTCCTCCCCATACAGCATACTGTCCAGATTACTTGTTTATCCTGTTTAATGCCTACCTCCCCTCCCCACCCCCAGGGAAGCTCCTCCAGGGAGTTTTGTGTTTTCTTTACCGATGCATCCTCATCTCATAGAACAGGTGCTGGGGCTACAGAGAGGTGAACCAGTCAGGTGAGGTCCATGCCTGTGTAGAGTTCACTTCTAGCTGGAGAGAGAAGTGCTATGAAGAAAATAAAGCCAGAAGGAATGATACTGCCCAAGGGAATCTTTTTTTTTTAATTGAGATAACATTGGTTTATAATGTTATGTAAGTTTCATGTGTACATTCTTATATTTCTGCTTCTGTATACCCTACAGTGTGCTCACCACCCAAAATTTAGCTTCCATCCATCACCATACTGTTGATCCCCTTTACCTCTTGAGCAGGAGGGAAAATGGGAGGAGCTGAGGGCAGAAAGGCAGGTGGGGTCACAGGGTCTCACAGGTCTGAGGAAGAGTTTGGAACATATTGTCAGTGCAGTGGAAAAGCATTTGGCCGCACCATGCGGCATGCGGGATCTTAGCTTCCCGTCCAGGGATTGAGCCTGTGCCCCCTGCAGTGGAAGCGCAGAGTCCTAACCACTGGACCTCCAGGGAAGTCCCCATATGAGGGTTTTTAACAAGGGATAATATATGGTTTTTAAAGATCATAGTGGCCATTGTGTGGAAAGTGGATTGTAGGGGAAGGGATGAGAGCAGGGTGACCTGTTTCATAGCCGTCTCTCTAGCACAAGACCTCACTGTAGATAAACAAGTACTGAACCAAGTTACCAATGGATGGCAGGGGAAGATGGGCTGTCTTCGGTTGCCGACTTTCCCTTTGGAGATAAAAAGACGAGAAAATGAGGAAAAATACAATTCATAATTATTTCAACTATTTTAAACCACTGGATGGTTTATAAAATGGGGGCCATGTTGGAGATACTCTGAGGCTAAATGCAAAGAGGAGTTGGTCCTTAGGTAAAAAGGTAGAACCTGGGACTTCCCTGGTGGCACAGTGGTTAAGAATCCACCTGCCAAAGCAGGGGACATGGGTTTGATCCCTGGTCTGGGAAGATCCCACATGCCACAGAGCAACTAAGCCCATGTTCCACAGCTACTGAGCCTGCATGCTGCAACTACTGAAGCCCGTGGGCCTAGAGCCTGTGCTCCACAAGAGGAGAAGCCACCACAAGGAGAGCCCGTGCACCGCAACGAAGAGTAGCCCCCGCTCGCTGCAACTAGAGAAAGCCTGAGTGCAGCAACAAAGCCCCAACGCAGACAAAATAAATAAATAAATTTTAAAAAAATATAAAAAATAAGGTAGAACAACTAGCATATTTGGCGAGTTTGCTTAACTGGAGATAAAGAGAACAAGGAGGAGAAAGCAGTATTTCCACAGAACGTTGCCATAATTTAGTTGAGGTGAATTGTAACAGCAGCAAAAAGCACCACCTGCCTCTAGTCAACAAAGCAGATGTGAAACAGAAGCAGTTCTGATCAGTGGGAGAGGAAAGAAAATTAAGAAGCTAAGGTGTATATTTTTTCTGACTTAGGACACTCCAGACTTATTTCTAAAAACAAAAGGCTGTGTGGCACAGAACATCAAAAAAAAATAACTGAGTCATACTCATCCATTAATAAAGTAACTAAGATGTACTAACACATAAGCTACAACATGTTTTATAAAGGATGGAATCAAGTTTATCTGAAGTACTTTGTCCTCAAGTATTCTGTGGGGTGTTGACATCACTTTGGGTCACGAAGAACAATGTACACAGTTTGTGCTGCAAAGCTGTTGGAACTGGAAACAGAATCGGATTCACTCATTGATTTTGTTTCTTTGTTTTAAAGCTCTGTGACACAGGAGACCAAGTCCATTTGTAAATTTTATCATAGAAGCAAAAATGTATATATTGCAAATGATTTAGGGCTGGGATAATTTTGTATTTATTAGTTTGCAAAAGAAAAAGAAGAAATGATAAAAAAACATTAAATCTTTACTGTGATGGATTAGAAAGGGGAAGTTTTTTCATTCTTGAGTCATTTTACTCTATATCATATGGTGTTGATATGAAAAGTACTCAGCTTGCTAATCACCTAACTGTGACTTAGGGTGTCATGTGTTGGTATATAGCTACTCCTCAGCTTGTAAATGTGAAGAAAGCTGTGAAGAAGACTAAATATGATTTCTTCTTGCTAAAAGTCATCAGCCTTCTCTTGTTTATTTTTTTCCCCTAAGTTTTATAATTGTGGACATTGGTAACTACATATGGATTAAATTTAGTTTGCAATTTCTGCCAAAAAACCCCCACCCTTTCATAATTGTGTCATTGTCAAATTATGTGATTTAGTTTTTTTCTCTCTTTAAAAACAAAACACCAAGCTATGTTTTATTTTCTCAAGAATTCCTAAGCAAGAATGAAATGTGGTCAAACATCATTAATTTTTTCATCAGGAAGATTGTCTTCTAAGTCCTAACACTGGTAGTGTTTCTTAGGACATGTAACTACTTTATAGCAATATTCCTCAGCTGAGAGCAGCAGGTATGCCATCCACAGAAAATAAGCCATGGTCATTCCACTATTTGAGGCATTTCTGTTTTCCACACAACCATCCACGTCTGATTTCTCTGGTCAGATGAATGGGTCTTTGAGGTTGTAGTAGTTGGGCCTATTGTTTCATTATTTTATTTTTTTAATAAATTTATTTATTTTTGGCCACACTGGATTTTCGTTGCTGTGTGCGGGCTTTCTCTAGTTGCGGTGAGCCGGGGCTACCCTTCCTTGCGGTGCATGGGCTTCTCATTGCGGTGGTTTCTCCTGTTGTGGAGCATGGGCTCTAGGTGCACGGGCTTCAGTAGTTGTGGCACACGGGCTCAGTAGTTGTGGCTCATGGGCTCTAAAGCGCAGTCTCAGTAGTTGTGGCACGTGGGCTTAGTTGCTCTGCAGTATGTGGGAACTCCCAGACCAGAGGTTCCCCACCGAACCCATGTCCCCTGCATTGGCAGGCGGATTCTTAACCACTGCGCCACCAGGGATGTCCCGGGCCTGTTGTTTTAAATACATCAAAAGATGTACATACAGGGACTTCCCTGGTGGCGCAGTGGTTAAGAATCCGCCTGCCAGTGCAGGGGACACGGGTTCGAGCCCTGGACCTGGAAGATCCCACATGCCGTGGAGCAACTAAGCCCGTGTGCCACAACTACTGAGCCTGCACTCTAGAGCCTGTGAGCCACAACTATGGAGCCCGTGTGCCACAACTACTGAAGTCTGCGTGCCTAGAGTCCATGCTCCGCAACAGGAGAAGCCACCGCAATGAGAAGCCCATGCACGGCAATGAAGACCCAACACAGCCAAAAATAAATAAATAAATTTATTTAAAAAAAAAAGATGAACATACAACAAAAACAACTGTCCAACTAGATGTTTCTGGGCTACAGGTTTTCAAGGGAAAAAAAGTATTCTTCAGACAAGCCTGGAATAATGGTCTAATTTGAATGGTTCCAGGAGGAAGAAATGCACCTTTATTGCCCTGATGTCTGCATTTGAGTCTTAGGTGTGCAAGTGTGGGAAGAGCAGATACTAGGTGTGCTTCGACTTGTGGTCCTTGCCTGCTCCCCGTCCAGATTCTTATCACCATCCACACCCTTGGTTGCTCTCAGTAACTCTGCACAGAAATCCACAGGAATCGCCTTCTTCACTGTTAACTACACATTGTCTCCGAGATCCAGTTGGGTGGGAGTGGGACCAGAGGGGCAGTTTCCCTGCTGCTCAGAATCTAACCCAAACTTTGGGGGAGGAAGAAATGTTACCAGTTGTATGACCTCTCTCTTCACTCCATCTAAACACTTTTTTAAAATAATGATAAGCCTCATATGTGAATAACCAGGACCAACCTTAGACAGACAGAATAGGCAGAACTTGTCTCTAACTATCTCATGCTTCTCTTTTCAAGTTAGAATAGAAAATTAAGCAAGAGTGTCAGGGGGTTCTGGTTGACGATGTTGCTTCTGGGAATTCTCTGCTGGCGGCCTGTGGGGTAACTGCAGGCACTGCAGGCACTGCAGGCTAGAGTTTGGGCAGGGATGGTCTGGAAAGGGAAAGGCAGCCCTTCCTTCCTGTGTGGCACTCAAAGATGGACTCTAACTAGAGCTAACTCCCACTTAATTAGGGAGGATCAGTGATCTTGGCAAAGAATAAAATAAGAACGTAGATCTTCCCAGAAGGAGTTATGGAAAATCTTCCCTTAAACATAAGTGTCTAATAAATGTGGGCTTCATGGGCACATTTCCACTGTTCCTTTTGAAGACTGGATAGATAGCACCGTTATAACCTGTAGCACTCATAACTAACAACTGCTGGAATTAAAAATATGCTACAGGGCTTCCCTGGTGGCGCAGTGGTTGAGAGTCTGCCTGCCGATACAGGGGACACGGTTTCGTGCCCCGGTCCGGAAAGATCCCCTATGCTGAGGAGCGGCTGGGCCCATCAGCCATGGCCGCTGAGCCTGCGCGTCCGGAGCCTATTCTCCGCAACAGGAGAGGCCACAACAGTGAGAGGCCCGCGTACCGCAAAAAAAAAAAAAAAAAAAAATTGCTACAAATACAGAGGTATCAAAGAAAATCCAAACCCTAGCTGATTAGTTGTTGAATTAATTCTGTTATGCTACATCAGAATCACGGTCTCTCTTAGGGATCAGAAGTTTTAATAACCTTGACAAGTTGTCTGGGAAAAATCAGTGAAATCCTGTGCCCTGAGGAGTAAATTCTCACACCAAACCCTCCAGATTTGTAATAAGGTAGCTACCAATTTGACTGTGAACTCAATGCAGTAAATTTTTTTTTGATAGAATGAAAAGTGCATTAGGTCACTCATTTGCCTGCATGCCTCCATAATAGCGCTTTCTCAATCTACATTGATCTGGCTTTGTCCATCTCTAATCTCAAACGTGTTCTGCTGTGACACCACCTGCCGCTCAATAAGACCCCTCCGTGACGCTGTGTCTGCAACTTCTGACCTTCAAAGAATTGTAGATTAACCAACTTCGTCTTAACCTGTGTCATAGAACTCTCGGGTTGCATGAAGTGGGACCCAGCTCCAGCTAAGCAAGACAGAAGAATTTATTATAAAGATACCGGCACGGCTTTCAACTAAGCAACGCTTCTGGGCTCGGAGATGATCCTGAAGAAGTAATAGAAAGATGTCAGGGAGGCAGGCAGCACTTCTTGGGTTGTGTTGGTTTTCTCTCTCCCTCACCAGAATGCAGAGTCTCCGAAAGCTGGGCCACGACTTTGCTTATTGTGTATTTATTTCTGTTTTTGTGAACTGGTTTCTCTACGTTTATATTCCTGGCACCTTAAACAAGTGCTTGGCATATGAGTGAGTTTGTGGGACACCTTCTTACTTAAATTCGCAGAAGAGATAGCAGCCGTGAAACCTTAACCTCAGTGGGTGGCCTTCTCCAGTTGCTTGAATTTACTGGCTGCCCTGTGGCTTTATCCTCAGCTCGTTGTCAAGGTGCACATGAATGATAACAGCACGAAGTCACTGATGGTGGATGAACGGCAATTAGCCCGAGATGTTCTAGACAACCTTTTCGAGAAAACCCATTGTGACTGCAATGTGGACTGGTGTCTTTATGAAATATATCCAGAACTACAAATCGGTAAGTCCCAGTTCCAGCAATTGGCTGTACTCCAAAAAACCTGTGAGTTTGCTTTATTATGGGTTTTGGTCTCTTGCAAAGAAGAGTTTGGTTCAAGGCTGTCAAGCCTCCCCCTACATCACTTCCCTTAGGTCAGGTTCGGTGCTTGCCTCTTCATTTATCTGTGGCAGAGACTCGGATTGGAGCAGGTGGCCAGACCTTGGGGAATGTAAGCATTATTGCTGTTACTTCTCTAGTGGATCCAAAAGGGAAAGAAAGTGACAGGAGGATACTTCTTACCGCATGCTTATTAAGCTGAGCAGGTGGTTGGAGAGCCTGGGTGTCTGTCAGCCGATGTCTCTTTAAAGTTTACTTCTTTTTTTTTTTTTTTTTTTTTTTGTTGTTCGGGGCGCTCCCTACCGTTGTGGCCCCTCCCGCCGCGGAGCACAGGCTCGGGACGCACAGGCTCAGCACGC